AATTGTTTTTAAGTTATCGTAAAAAACTGTCCGTCAAATGAATGATACGTTTGGAAACTCTAATAGTATGTCACGTACTCTACAGTCCAATCACTCCACAAATACATCTAATGCCTCTCTCTCTCTCCCTCTCTCTCTCTCTCTTCTCAATAAATAAATATCATTCAAAAAAATCAAAAAACCGTTGAACTGAGGATTCAATCAATGGATTTTTCTTCTTCTCCTCCAATTTCATCGTTTGAATGGAAATAAAAAATCAAACGAAACACAAATAAAGAAAAAGGACTCAAATTAGAAATACAACTTTCGGTGTATAAGAAATAAATAAATGGTTTCTCTTTTGGCAATAAAAATGGCTTTCAATTACTGAAGAAAAATGTTTTACTCTCTCCAGACATGAATGAGAGGAATGAATGTTCACAACAAAACCCATATTGAGATGATGTGAATGAATGGCATACCTGCGGGTCCTTCGATGAAACCGGTGGGGAATGCGTTGCCATCTAATGTTGTGGTCAGTCCTCTGTCACCCTTTTCTCCTTTGTCTCCCTAATCAACGAATAACACATTTCACATATATTTTCGCTTTTATATTGACAACCAAAATGAGAATATATGTTATATCCATAGAAATACATTTTAAAATTTGTATTCAAGAAAAGCCAAAAGCATTAGTAGTGCGGAAACAGTGTATAAAATCAAATCAAGTCAATAGGCTTTTAGATTATAAAATTTTTTAGTTTGGGTTTAGCGACAATCAGAATTTCTTATTTAAACTTATTTACTTACAATCCAAAACATCAGTTTCCTATATATGGCATGACAAATACAATTTGTGTTATGTCATATGTAACCTAGGTAAGAAGTGTTAGCGTTTGTTATCAACGAAAATATTGAAGTCATTTCTTGAATATATTTAAAATAATACCTTTTTATCAAAAAGATTTTCGGGACAAAAAAATTATTGCAAAGAATGGTTTCCCCCGACAAAGAATTTGTAATTTAAAAAATCCTAAACATGTAAAGTTAGCATTTAGTTGTGGTCTATTTGGGGCCAATATCGGTGGCAATGGGGGGCATTCAGGACACCAAGATTTACGACTATTTTTCTAACAACTTATATGTCTGATCACTACGTGAAGGCATTTCTCAGATCTAACCTTATGGTGAGTGAGAGAATTAGTTGTGTTGCGAACAACAGTATAGATATACTGATAATCTTAAACACAATTTTTTTCACTTTACATATTATACACACTTTTTTCATACACTTCTTACGAAACGAAAACTGCGGGTTTGAAAAATTGTAGTCATTTTTCATTCATTCATTAATTAAATTTCAATTTTTCAGTCCATGAATATCAATAAAAATCTAAAATTTGTTGTCAGCCCTTATTTGGGGATTAAATTTCACGCAATTTAATAATTCAAAAGATATTTTCTATTACTACAAACCATTTGAAACATTATATTTATACATTATTTTTACAAACTCTTTAAATATATTCAATAATTAATATAATTATTAGTTATTGCGAAAAATAGAGCATTTTCTTTGCGAAAGAAGTAGATTAAGTGTTATTTGAGTTTTTGGTTACAATAAAAATAAGTTATACACGAAGTGAATGGAGAATGAGTTCAGTTATTCAAAACATTAAGCTATTCAGACGTTAAATCCAGTGTTAGTATTGTTATTACAGTGTAGTTATATATTTGGTCTGATATTTGTTAGTCATCTTTTGGGTAAAATAAATGCATTGCATAACAAAAAACTGTAATATCTCACTGGATCTCCTTTAAGTCCGTTATGGCCGGGCAGTCCCATTGAGCCCATTTCGCCCTAAAACAAAATACAACTCAACATTTCAGCCAAACTTTTACTCGTTGTAATCAATTTTGTCATTTCGTTGTCTTTTTGTTTGTTTCGCAAACAGAATATACTATTTGTTTGACTTTTATTAAGGGAAGATTTTTTGTGCCGTAAAACTCAATAAATAATTTCAACAATAAAAGGGTTTATTTTACATATACTATAATTTTAAGATAAATTTAATTTAAAGCATGATATAGACAATGGATTGAGTAAATCATATATACCTTCGGACCAATGAGACCATCTTTACCAATGGGACCAATCGGGCCCTCAGGTCCTATGGGTCCGGGAAGGCCGGGAGGACCCTATGTTTGATCAAAAGATTGTGTGAAAAAACCGTTTAACAATGAAATAAGCCGTTTATATGGACGCACGGGTTCGCCGGGTAAGCCAACTCTGCCATCAAATCCGGGTAATCCAGTGGGTCCGGGGGGTCCAGCGGAGCCGGGAGGTCCTGGTTGACCTGGCTCTCCCTTTTATTCGTTTAATAAACAGACAAAAGTTAGCAAAAAATAATTAAATTTTAAGAAACAGAAATAATCGTAAAAACATGTATCAAAACATAAAGTGAGACATAAAATGATTGAAACACACGTCAAGTGATATAATGATTAAGAAAGACAACAAATAAAAACACATATAAATGTATATATAATACAATAAAGACAATAAGAGGACTCACTTTGAGCAGAAGTAAGTCACCGGGAGATAAAGTGATGCCAAGGGAGGCTAAACCCTAACCACACATATAGAGTAATACACACACAGTATAGTGAAAAAAGCCAACAATTATATCAATTATTTTTCGTCTGGTTTTTTCAGAAACATTTATTACATAAAACATGAAAATTGTTAATATTTTCTTTGTGTAGTGTTTCTCTGTTTTGTCAAATCTAATCGCAAAAAGTCTTAGTTCTTAGACACAAATCTCATAACGTTTACTAAATTTAACACAAAAGGGATGTCTTTTTGTGATGAGATTTGCAGTGAAAATATGATAAGAATAGTGTCTTTGCGTTGGATTTTGATTCTAATGTCATTATACAGAGAGAAAGACTAATTGAATGTTAAGATGTGTTCCGGATTTTAATGAAAGAGCCATTTGAACGAGTATTTTGTATTTGTCTTTCCTATCATTTGTACCGAAGATTGCGTTTGAATTTAATTAATATCTATTTTTTGTGCCTTTTTTCACGTCTGTCTCTCTTTTTCTGTTGAATCCAATGGACTGACTGTTTGTTGAGTTAATTCGTGTCTAAATAACTGTCGGACTCTCCGAGAATTGATGTGAAAAGTGTTTTGCGCTGTAATTGTGTTTCTCATCAGAAGTTTGTATAAGTTTTATCATCGATGAAGTAGTAGTTGACGATAAATATACAGTAAACTAACGACTATTTTATTCAATTTGAGTGCTATTTCTCTCTCAATAAGTTATTTGTTGGCAAATGTGCGGTTCGTTTAGCGCACAAACATCTATATCACTGTATTAGAAGAGAGACGCGATTTCTTATTTGAATTTATTTTATCAAATCAATTGATTTTATGGCAAATCATTGGAAATCTGTTTTTCATTTGTGAAACATTATTGCGAAAGTGAATTACACACAGAATTTAATGGTTAGAGAATCTGTTCCGTTGAATACATTTCCATCTGATTCTGGGATAGGGTTTAGGTTTTAGACAAAATATACTCTTTCAGTATATTAGGGGAAAGGGATCTGAATTTCATTAAACACAACATTAACTATAAAAACAGAAAACACATTAAAATGTTTTTCGGAAAACAGTTTAATGAATAAAATTAGAAAAATGATATTTAATGAGAAACATATTAAAACATATCAAAAAATAATTAAAATCTAATTAAAAGCATAGGAATAAATGGCTAAATGTTGTTATCGAGAGGAAAATCAAATTAAAAATAAATGAAAGTCTTGTTTCGGGAAAGAAAAATAATGAGAACACAGAGTAAACATAAAAACACATAAATAAGAGAGAGAGAGAGAGAGAGAGAGGCATTAGATGTATTTGTGGAGTGATTGGACTGTAGAGTACGTGACATACTATTAGAGTTTCCAAACGTATCATTCATTTGACGGACAGTTTTTTACGATAACTTAAAAACAATTTTTGGAAAATTCTTAATTGAAAAGTNGAGAGAGAGAGAGAGAGAGAGAGAGAGAGAGAACAGTTAGGAAATGGACGGTTCGGGTGTCGGAGACACTCTTTGGAAGACTAACCTTAATCGCTATCACCTCTGCATAGCCTAATGTCCCGCCGCGAAGTCTAGTGACCGACCTCTTAACTCCCTGTCCAATAGGTTTTGTTATATCACATGTTATTTGGATTTCAATTTGTTAATGCATTCATTTATATTAATTAAAGCCAAGTGTTATTATTATAATTATTACATTAATCTCCATATATTTTATGTATATTTTAATGTGAAATGATGGTAAATTTGTTAGAATAATTTGGTTAATTGTAATAAATATTTCATCAATTATGCAACAAAAGCAACAAATAGTGTATACCTTAGTTGTAGTGAACAAATCGAAACCACTTTCGCCCTAAAAATTAATTATAAAAGAAATATATAGTTAATTAAGAGAAAAATTTTGCCATATATTTAATGGTGTATTAATGGTCTTAGAGTTTGAATGTTAATAGCAATAAAAGCAAGGGTTTTATGATTAATGAGTTGTAGACTTGTTTTTATGGGCACAAGAATTGAGAACTTTTTCTCTCATCTGTCAGTCAAAAGAGATGTTTGGGTTTTAAGGTTTTCTTTTTAAATGCAAAACAGTGTTGAGAGAGAAGTGTCGGGAAAGTTGTCGCAGAATTAAAGGGCAAAATAGAGTTACAACTTATCATTTAACCTGTTTTTCTTCTCAAAACTATTTATAATCTCAAAAATTTCATATTTAAATCCATTTTGCGATTCATTTCTCATATCAGTCTAACTAATGATTAAAAACACGAATAATAAAGAAAAAGGGAAATGAAAATCGTATGAAAAATGTGTGGAAATTATATTTTAAGTTCAATCTGTATGTATGGAAAAGTAAAACAAAATCCATAGTCATTGGACTCAATGATTATAAACAGAATTTTTATTTCACATCGACTTAACGTTTCTATTAATAAAAATATTTCTCTCAAATCAATTAACAACATTTGAAAAGTGTATTTTAAAAATCCTATAGTCTTTACAAATGAATAATAAATTATTAATAATATAAGAGCTATGGTATGAATATTCTGTCATGAATTCATAATGAATTAAATCTGTTTCGTAATAATAATAACATTAAAACCAAATGAAATGGTAAATAATAAAATGCGGGGAATTATGCAAAAAAAGTTTTCAATTAATTTTGGACGCAAAGGGTATGGTATTAAACAACAGAGAAGAGAATCACTTACTTTATCCCCTTTATCTCCTTTGAAGCCCTGAAATAATTACATATATATTGTATTTGAATAAAAAACAGATTTTTTGTATAAGTATTGTTGGTATTCATTAGTAGTAAAGACAGAGCAAAGAATCGCTACGAATATAACACTAAACAAATAAATTGCTAACAAAACTAACAACAAAATTGATTCTACGGTTAATATCAAGAGTTAACAAAACAAAAGTCGATTTCTTGGTATAATGTATTTGAATGTTAAGAAACATATCTACAAAAGACAATAAGCATTTTCGGATGAAGTGCTTTAAAAAGTATTATAATTTATATTTGTTTGCAAAGAATAACAAATTTGTGAGAGAAAAGTGTGTGCCTTAAGAGTGAGGCACAGAATAGTGAAGGTTAGAGATATGTCAAGACAGGGAAAACAGATATAAATAACTACAGTATTGGGGAAAAAGAGAGATAATAAGTGGTAAAAAATATTCTTCACGACTCACATGATCACCTTTGGGTCCGTCTATACCGATAGCGCCCTTTAGATGGGATGGAAAGACAAGAATGCAGTTATAGAGTAGACAACACTTTGAAACTCTTTTTTTAAGATTTGTGTGGTTTTAAACATTATATTTTAAAGAAATAACTTTATGTTATAACAAATAATGTAACAAAAAAGAATACAAGACATAATATAAGTTATTTTCACCCTAAAAGTAATAGAATGTGAAATGCAATTATAGTTTTTCACTCGTTTTTCAGTGATAAAAATTTTATTATTTGATATTTCTGTTTTTATGGCTTTTTTCCTTCTGTTGTTATCATTATTATTATTTTGTGTCCGAATTATATCAAGAATTCGCCGACAATTTTGATTTAAGATATGTTTTAAGACACTATAGCGACGAATAAAAGTGAAAGTTGTTGAAAAAGTAAGACTTACCGGAAAACCTGGTTTACCCGGCGGTCCCTGAAAATAGACGGGTATATAAATCAGAGTTATTTTCATAATTAGTTCATAAATTCATTAGATTTCCTTTGTTTTGTTTGAGTGTATTTTTTTGTTAGTTTTTTGTTCATTAAGTTAACGAACTACAGGTCTATACATACCAAAGGGCCCGGAGTTCCCGAATCTCCAGGAGGTCCTCTTTTGCCTCGTTTCCCTCGCGGACCTGCAATACAAACAAAACAATTTTATTATTAATTACTAATTAGTACTAAATTATCGCAAAAATATTATAATTCAAAACCAGAATATTCTAAATGTCTTTTATGTTGTTTTTTTGTAAAAATATATTATGAATAGTAATTGAGAATAAAATATGCAATTATATGACATAAGACTCGCAGTTATTCTCATAAATTAAAGCAAATGTTGTTTTTTAATACACAAAAACCCAGAGATCAGTAATGTTTGATAAGAATGCAAATTACTTATAAAAACAATAAATCCTAATATAAAATGCCAAGAATTGCAATGAATTAAAATCTCGGTATAAAAATAAAATATGAATGAATGCTTTAATAGTGTCTTGGATTATAAATTTGCATTAATTTCTTCACAGGAAGTGCTGAATCAAAATGTTTTTAATTCGTGCATATATTTAGATACGATAATACTGTATGTCTTGTGAAGTGTATAATAAGTTGTATTTGTATTAAATATATAAAAGCAGTTAATTATTATGTAATTTGCGGAGTCGAGCGATGCTATGCTTTATTTCATTTGTGATTCTTATATCAAATCAAACACTTCTTAACAGAATTTATCGATTCCTTGTTTAACACAATATTTTAAGTCCTTTTCTCTGTTCTTTGTTTTTGTGAATAAAAATCATTACAAAGAATACGTGCATAAGAAAAGTGTGTTAAACTCCTACATAATTACAGTTGTAGTTTGGGATGTAGTGTCACGCGTGAGATGGAGAGAAAGAAAGAGAGAAAGAAAGAGAGGAAGAGAGAGAGAGAGAGAGAGAGAATTGTAATTAGAGAACAGTAAGTGATAGGAGATCTACAGCCAAATACAAATCTCAAGTACCATAACGTCTAAATCCATACACACCATCAGAACATCACATCTACAGTACAAGACTACTAGTGCTCTTTCTCTCTCTCTCTCTCTCTCTCTCATTGTCGAGTTTTGATATAAAAAATTGATGAAAACTTTTCAGTACGAGATGAAAGGTGTGTATGGATTTAGACGTTATGGTACTTGAGATTTGTATTTGGCTGTAGATCTCCTATCACTTACTGTTCTCTAATTACAATTCTCTCTCTCTCTCTCTCTCCTGCAGTTAAAGAATACACAACAAAGAAAAATAGAGAGAAAAGCTGTAAATCTATTTTGGTTCTAAAAATTGATACAAATCTGAAAATCAAGAATTTTTCAAAGAAACACTTGGTTTCTGAAGATTGAGTCAAATATAAAACTATTTTAAAAATTATTATGCATTTTATATACAATATTAAGAAATATTTTAACAACTAATTCTCTCTCTCTCTCTCTCTCTCTCTCTCTCTCGTGTTTTGTATCTTAAACATCAAAAAAGATTATCAATGTTTGAAACATTTTATCCTCAAAGAGATTAATTAAAAATATTTCTAACAAAAGTAGATATCGTAACACAAGTTCACTAAACACTCGTAAAACGAGACTTTTATTTCATGTATAAAAGAAAATAACAAATCTCTTGTATTTAAAGCTATAAATTTCCTTTAAAATAAAGTAAATTTTAAATTGAATTGATTTTCAAAGCCTTGTCTATAAACGAGAGAAAATAACACAAAAATATTGTCCCAATTCTCCAAAAATCCCCGAATGAAACGACAGAGAAAATCTTTAAAACCAATAATACTATAGTATTATAAGAATAATAATATTTTTATTTAAAATGTCACACAAATAGTGATACGATGTCTCGTAAAAGCCGTCTAACCATAACATTCTCGACACGAGACGACTCAAGTGATGGACAGACAGTATTTGCGTTGGTTTTATGGCTTTGAATTTATTTCATTTTGATTGCACTTAAACATAGATCCGGAGCCAACTATTCTCTCTCTCTCTCTCTCTCTCTCTCTCTCGATTAACTATACATGATATAGTGTAGTGTGTATTATATTATAAAAAATTAAATAAAGCCAACATTTTATTCATTTGATAATACATTTAGTAATTTATTTGCTCTCTCTCTCTCTCTCTCTCCCTCTCTCATTTTTACCTATCCCTACAATACAAATGTTAGGTCTTTAAAAGTTTATTACAACAGAGGGATAATATGTAATCATTTAAGTTGTAATATTTCACCCGTTTTGGTGCAAAAATAGTTGTGTCTGGAGTTTATGAGCACATCTTTATGCATATATACAGCATATATATAGTAAGGGATGAAACAAAAATTGAAATTAAAATTGATTTTCACATTAACTCAACTAATAATAGCTTTTATGCATAAAAGAACATCACTTTCCTCTTATAGTTCGCGAAACTCTATTATAAGAGATATATTTTGTTGAATAAATTCGTTAAGCATTTTGTGTGAAACAAATCAAACGAATGAATAAATAAACGAATGAATGAATGCATTAATATTTAAAGTCTGACACAAAAAAAGTAATTCACTATATTTTTTGTTGTCTTTTGTTGTGTTTATTCACTTTATATTCGCGTTCAACGAAACATAACATAACAAATGCATTGTTTTTCGTTACACTATAAATAGGGCTTAAAATTCATTACGGATTCCGTGTATCATATGATGGTTTGAATGAAGCGCTAAATTAATCATTTATTATTTTCGTACTTCAACTTGTCTTTCATCTCGTACTGAAAAGTTTTCATCAATTTTTTATATCAAAACTCGACAATAAGAGAGAGAGAGAGAGAGAGAGAGAGAGAGAGAACTTTTCACAAGAAAAAGATTACTTTTTAAGATAAAATAAAAGAGTTTTTGGATCTGAATTGAAAGCAAAAATATCTCTCTCTCTCTCTGCCGGCAATTGAATGTGTCTAACAATTAGACAGACGACCAAAACGTTCACACAATATCTGTGGCAATCGTATGGTAGGACTCACTCTCGAAATTCCATCAAATAAATTAACTTTTCCTCTCAGTCGCCGATTCTGTCCTGTTTTGTGACTTAATTACTATAGCGAACCATCACTTCACTTAACACAACACCGTTTTCTCGGATACACAACAAAACTTTTACACTAATAAAACGGCACACGATTTCTGTCTCCAATAGTTATCTTAACTTTCTATTTAATTTACTTTTTTCATCCAATTTTGTATAGTATCTCAAAAACTCAGATTTATTTTGTTTAAAAATAAGGTTATATTTATATTATTATTGTTATTTTACTTTTAATGTTAATTGTTTGCATTGATGTTAATATGGAAGTTCCTATTGATTTTATCATTTTATACTATATAATTTATTTGTAAATGTTTTTAATGGAGAGAGAGAGAGAGAGAGAGCAAATAAATTACTAAATGTATTATCAAATGAATAAAATGTTGGCTTTATTTAATTTTTTATAAGCGAACAAAAAAGACTCCACTCTTCTTATTCCTGTGCTTTACTTTTTGAGATATCATTGGGAGTGAAGGGATGTGCAAAGGGTTTATCAAACATCAACCTTATAAGCAATATATGTGGAAAATACCCCCTGAGTTGCCTATTAAGAAATTCCCACTCTTTTTGATTATTGAAATTTTTATAAAAATATTTTTTATCAAACATATGAAACGCCGGATCGATGTATACCCCGACCCAACACAACCCCTGGTCTCTCACTGAATATATAGACACTACCAGTGAATGAACTGAATTCACACAAAATTTCCTTCCGCTCAATGCGAGCGCGAGAATAAATATTTGGGAAAAAGTTTTTCAATTTCTTTATTTTTGCTTTCAATTCAGATCCAAAAACTCTTTTATTTTATCTTAAAAAGTAATCTTTTTCTTGTGAAAAGTTCTCTCTCTCTCTCTCTCTCTCTCTTAAATACATACAATTTATATTAACAAATATATTATTCGTACGTTTTGTTGATGTAATGATAGGAATAAAAATATTTTTATTAATTTGTGTTTCGCTCGAATCCACCCATCATTTTATTCCTAATGTTTTTATGTGTTTTATTATTTTTCATTGTCTCAAACAATATACCAGAATATATACACACTATTACAGTACATGGTATATCCCATAATAGTTTTTTGTATTCCCACTCATATAATGTGTGTTTCGCTCGTAAAACCCTATTTAGTAAATGAAACCATACATTAAATTGTTTGCCAAATACTTTTAGAGCCAGTCTTTTGCCGACAAAACTATTATTAAAATTAGTTATGGGTTTTGTGGACACAGAAACCAATGCCATTTAATTGCATTTACTCCAGAGGTATGTCCTATCAATCGAGAGTTACAGCTCAACCTTAAGTGACAGTAAAAATGAATTATTAAAATATTTCATAATAAAAATGGTTTCAAACAGTATTTAAGTTTTAGCAGAATATATCCAAAGACATGCGTTCATTGAATTAAATACAATTTAAGCAAAATTATTGTTTGCAGTGTTTTATCATACATATAGTTATAGTGTACTGAACACACAGTTTATAGTTTTCTACACTATGTGTGAGTTTGTAAAGTAAAATCAATTCCATGTCATTAATCTTCTACTTAATGGCCTTTTATTTAAAGTTAAAATTATCTAATATTCCGGCTCTTTATCTCTCATTTTTACATTTCTGGTCCAATAAAAGGACATTTTTTCTCTCCATCTTTTTCTCTCTTTCTCTCTCGCTTTTCCCTCTCATTCACAACACAATCAAAACAATTTTTTGTGTTCATTTGATCCCCTCATCTGATAAAACATTTTTGTGTTCAAAAAGTTTTTCAAAACATTTGCTTTTGAGTGAACGAACAAAAAATGTTATCCGACTGACTGTCTGTTTGCTATCGTTTGCGACACAACTCACAACTCATAACTTAAAACTCACTGTTTGTCTAATTTTTGGCGTTTATTTTTCTTCTGTTTTTAATGTCAAAGAATTGATTAAAATAATAGACATTTGATAAATGAGTTATGTTTTGATTTTATGTTATACTTACAGACACTCACTAACACTCACTCTTCCCTACATTTCGATTATAAATATAACGTTTGGCACAAAAAGCTCACAAATTGAACCAAAATGAAGTCAACATGAGATCAATTCCGAGCGAATAATTAATTGCTTTACAACTTATTATGTGTTAAAATTGTTAACAAATTCTCTCTCACTCTTTCATTGAGAATCTAATGACACAAAAGTGTTTTTGTTTTCTCTTTTTGTCTTATTTTTGCATAAATTTGCTCTATTTTGAGACAAATGTGAGAACTCTTTCATCCAATCCTTTCATTTATTTATATTAAAGTAATTTCACTTTTATATACAGTAAATGACAATTATTTGGTGAATCAATTCTATAGTGAATTCACTTAAATTGTTTTAAATTAAATATATTTAATACAAATAGAAAATTAAGTTTTTAATCACTTCATTGAAATTTTCAATTAAATGACTTTTTTGTGATACAAAAAAATAAAATTTCAATTTCTTTTATCAAAACGTGTTCTCAAATACATTTAATATATAATATTTCCATCAAATTCTTCAATATATATAAGACAAGTCTGGAAAGCAGTTGAAATAAATAAAACGGTTATTCCCTTCACTGCTAAAGACCTTAATATTGAATGAAATTTTATGTGAGAGAAGTGTTTTAATTTAAGTGTAAGAATGCGCCAACACTTTAGTCAAGGCTTTGAATGAAATATAATGTATTTATTGCATACAGTGTTAT